TTTCATGGCACTTGGTAAAGGAAAACATTCTCCTCCTTTAGTTTTAATCTATTTTTTCAAAAAATCGTTTCATAGGACTTATTTCTACTCATAAGTGCCCCTATCAAAAACACTTTTATTTAAATCAAAGCAAAAGCATTTCTTCTATTTAAATCAAAATTTATGATATCTTTCATGGAAAAATATTAAAGAAGCACTTTCTATGATTGGGAAGCTAGCAAAAAATGTACTGTCAACCACTTTAAAAAACTACTGTAATTGCACGGTTGCACCATTTTCTTCTGGTAGTTGATGGTATGGGGCTGGTTTTCGGAAGGATCGCATCGTAATCATTCCAATTCCAATCTAAAAAATTTCGGAATGAAAATTCTTTTCCAGTTCTTTTTCCAAAAAGCTTTAGAATTTCAACATCCATTCCGATTTGAAAAACTCGGAATTTTCGAAATTGTTAGAAAATTTCAAAACTTACAATTTTAAGAATTTTTATGGAAAATATTTGAAAATTTTAAACATGACCGGATCCGGATCTTCTGTTATGATTTTCTCTGTCATGATCTGCTTTATTTTTGTTTTCCATACGCTATCTCATTAAAATTTAATCTAAGGGATTTAAAAGTTGACACATCATCCCAAAACAAATACCAATTTACTCCTAATTAAAAAAGAAAAAAAAACCTAACACACAACTAACGGGATAGTTAACGTCCAAAAGCTGTTTTTTTTTCTTCTTCTTCTTCATGTTCTTTCTTTCTTTTTTTTTTTTTTTTTTTTTTTTTTTTTCCTTTTTTTTTGTATTGTATAGATTTTGGTTGGAGGAATTAAATTAATGGGTACCTGACAAATATTAGAAAGGTAAGCCTTTCATTAATTCATGGGTTTTCATTTTGTGGGGGTTTTCTTATTCCTTTGCTATGAAGAACGAACTAGAGAGATTCATAATTTATGTTGGGTTTTGTTATGGCGTGTGGTTTGTCAAAGATGGTTTTGCCTTCAATGGATTTTCGTAGTGATGCTTATTGCTTTGTGATGGTGGAGCAAGGTGAAGCAAAAAGGAGAAGTGGACAGAACGTGTAGCAAGAAGGAGAAAAAAAAAGAGAAGAGGACAGAAGTGAAGAAGAAGAAGAAAAAAATCAGCTTTGGGATGTTAACTATCCCATTTGTTGGGTGTTAGTGTTGTTTTTTTCTTTTTTAATTAGGAGTAAATTTGGTTTTTGTTTTAAGATGATGTGTTAACTTTTAAATCCCTTAGAGCATCTTCAACTGATCTGTCAAACGTGCCACATAAACATTTAACAGTTATAAATAACATCTCATATCACTCCAACCGATGTGTCAAAGCTGATGTGGAATGAAGGCTGGAGGTTGAGATGTTATTTTTGACATCCCAAAAGCAAGATGTCAAATGAATATTTTATTTTTTTTTTCTTTTCTTTTCTTTTTAACTAAAAATGAATCAACACTAAAATGTAATAAAATAATAATTTAATTTGACTTATCGGGTGGAGTGTAAAGCTGTGTAAGATGTTAAATTGCCACATCAGCCATTAAATTTAAATTTGATGTTTGGTATTTGACATCTCCCTTGGAGATGCTCTTATATTAAATTTTAATGAGGTGGCTTATGGAAAATAAAAGTAAAGCAAATCATGGCAAAGAAAATCAAAACAAAGGTTTCGATCCAAGCTTAAAATGCATTTCAATTTCAATCCTTTATTTTTTTGGAATTTTCAGATTTCAGAATTCATTCGAGCTCACCAAAATGGGAAATTTTCAGATCGAAATATCCAATCCAACTTGCACCGGTAGATGGTACAAATGCAAATACCAAGTAAGGGGTGACATCTTTCAGGGAAGCAACCCTCAGTTGTGTTTTGGTTTTTTTGGGGGGGGGGGGGGGGGGGGTGTTGTGTGTGTGTTGTTGGGGGGCGGGGCGGCGGCCTAGACCAGGCTATAACACTAATTGGATATACTGAATTTATGGTATATTAGCTTTCCGTTCTATTTTATTAGATCAGAATAATGAATCAAAGAGAGCATTTTCTGTGTCAATCGTACACTCAATATATGTAAGACATTATGGCACCTAAGCAGCAACAAAAAACAGAGAGAAAAAGAGATTGGAGCAAAACCCTATGATGCCTATATAAATGTTAACTTTAACTTAGTAACTTAGTGTTCAAGTTACAGTACAGAATAAGCACGGATCACCTCAACTGCGGGTGCTCTACACATCGGACACTTTCCGCTACTCTCAACCAATTCGGTAGCACATTTTGAACATGCACACATGTGCCCGCATCTGCAAGACGAAATGAACAGAAATTGAAAAACGATGTTACAATCTCCACATATCCAACAATTCGAATCACAAAGGTGCACATTTTGGAGTTTTACCTGTACAGTAAAGAATCAATACTTCTATCACAACATATACAGCAAATTCCTTTCCTTACATGATCCCATTTAGAGCCATCTTCTAGCAGACCATCTTCACACAACCCTGCAGAAGCAGACACCTCTCACAGTCAACTTAAGGAAAGCAAGTAATGGACCGAAGTTTTAGAGAATTGTTCACCAAACCAACAACCAAATAAGGCAAAATGACAAGGGATCCACAGCAGGAGATGGGAGCAAAGTTTTAAAAGGAGAGGATTAGGGTTTACAAAATCTAATTTCGTGGTTATGTCATACAGGTTAGGATTTTATCTTTTGAATGTTTTTGGTCAAATGATGTTTTCATTGCAAAAATAGCACATTACAGACCTAGCCCAAGATTTGGGAGGGCAGCATAGGCCCATAAGTAAACATCAATCTTCTTCTTAAATGAAACGTAACGTGTTGTATACGGTGGGCCGGGAACAAACTGATGGAGTTCTAAGACATTAAAGCAGAAGCAACACCATTGATAGAAAAAACCAATCAGACATAATTTCATTGCAACTATCCAATCAGAGTTAGTAAAGCTATCCTAGAGGTGGTCAGTGTAGAGTAAAAAGTTCACCATAAAAAACAACTATGTAAAATATGCTTAAGTGCATCAAAACTATTGACAAACCTTGTGAACCAGATGATCTATTCAGGGCATCAGAAACTTCTTGTCTTATTGAGCGCTGCAACTCGAGTTGCATATCCATGCAGGCTTCTAACATCCTTTGCAAGTTATTCATCCTCTGTTGTAGCCTACCCATGTCAATCCTCATATCGTTAATTATCTCCCAGTCCTGTATCAGTAAGCAAATTGTAAATTTACTAAGCCAAAAGGTAGGCGTCAAGAATATAAGTGACTTGATATCGAATTATGTGAACACAAGATGCAAGAAAAATTATGTGAACTTACAATTCCAAAACGTTGACGCATGTCATGCTGTGGCCAATTATCAGGGTGTGACTCCTGGTCCCAAAGTGGCGAGGGAGGTATTTGCTGTGATGGCAGCACAGTACTAGGACTAGGACTCTCAACAGAATCCACTTGACCCTCATTTTGATATCCACCAGTCTGCTCTAGATCCTGTTCTGCAGATTCAGGAGAAGGTGATGTATCATCTAGCTCCCAGTCAATGGTAGCATGACCTTGTCTTTCCACATATGATTGTATAAGTCGATCTAGATTCTGACGGAAACCACTACTAAGAAGATTAGAAACCCTTCTCCTGCAACATTAATAAGATTTCCATGAGAAAAGCTGATCCTTCAGAAGCCCAAAGCATAATCATGAATTAATAAATTTAATACCTGCTTAGGAGTTCCCTTATCTCTGTACTATGAGCATTATCGTCATCAGGAAAATAAAAGGTATCGATCTGTCTGACTGGATCAGCATCCTGGTCAGATGGCTCTTCTAACCAACTGTGAACAGCCTCTTGAAAACCACTTCCTCGTGCCACACGTCACTAACTTCTTCAAGATGACTGTTTTCTCTATCCCCGCCCTCCAACAACTCTTGGGACCATTCATTACCAGCAGTTTCCTGCTGATCTCCAATTGTAATTCGACCAACATTTTCTCTCAAATATTATACTCAGCAACAGGCTCTTCCCAGTCTAATTCCTCATTTTCTGAAACTCGATCCTGCCATTGTTGTACCTGAGAAGTAAATTCTTGAAAATTTACAACCCATTGAAAATTGACATCCCCAACCATGTGCCTTGTAAATTATATGTATCACCAGATTGTTCACAGATTACACTTTCCTCCCCACTTGGCTCAGATTCATTAGATACATCAATGACTTCTCTCATGTTACTGTGTTCACCAGCATCATTTTGTGAAGTTTCTAAGGGCTGCTCAACAGCAGTGGTTGCCTGTAAGTTCCCAATCATATTACTACCAGTACCCTCACTCCTTTCGACAATGTCAAAAATGGTTGAGCAATCCCCGTCTCTTACGACATTATCTGGAACTTCTTCCTGCCAACCTTCCACAGGAACATTAGATTCTTGTGAATCTATATCCAGAATGGTGTTGCCACCTAAATCACCCTACCATTGGACATTCCACATCTATCATGTCCTCTGTCATCACTTGCCTCTTCATTTGCGTCAGATTGTTCAAAAAAACCATGTACCTCTTGTAAATTGTCTTCTTCAACGTGTCCATTTCTACTACCACTAGACACACTTGAAGATGTCTCAGAATGGCTGCTGCTTACTGACCACATGCAGTATTATCCAATCTGGAGCAAAAACCTTCCCTACTCCAAAGAATAGATGCCCAAATATCAATGAGAAAATAAATAAAAGCATTTTTCTACATAAGAAACAAAAAATGAATGAAGAAATTAATCAGTATTAGTCAATGAAATAATCCAGACAGCTTCGAGAATAAAAGAAGAAAAAAGTTAATGGATTTGCATGACCACAATCTATAATTGATAATAATATAGAAGATTAAGATGCTCTAAAGGTGAAAGTCTATAATATATGCATACATACATGAACATGAGTATCTATTGCAGGGCAACATCATACTGGAACAGTGATAGAGATTCAATTTCACCATGTCGAAAGTGATTTATATCTTGTTTTAACACTTCAAATTCTACAAAACTAGTAATCAAGACAGGAAACACAAATAACTACATCTTGCCCACTACTTAAAATTGTACCAAGGAATTAATCTGTTTATTAACTATAGACCAAACTCGCCAGTGCAAGCTAATAGCTATAGTTTGTCATCTTTCCAACAATCAAAATATAAAATTTACAATCTGCCCATTGTAATTTAGACTTAATCATCTTTCTATAGTGGACCACCCTTCAAGCCCCATAAACTCACACATATTATACCAAAAACACTTTCACGATTAGAAAGGGGTTGGAAGAATGGGTTTACTGCATACCATTTTTGTATATCACTTTTTGGCTAAATTCAATGATTATCAAAAGTCGTGCATCAACAACTCTTGGAAGAAGAATAATTAGAAAACTTAGACTTGAGGTGTCCCAAATCATTTTTACTTCAATAAATGCAAAGATGATACAAATTATACAGAAAACAAAAGAGGATCACAAGGATGGGTTAATTCATCATTACGAGATGATGCAATTCCACCAATTCATTGCGTAAAACTTACAAACACATCTCAGGTGTATATAAAATGGAGGTCACACGATACTAAGAAAAAAAATTAGAGCATAAAAGCTTTGCAAAGAAAATTAAAGATATCATTCTTATTAATTAAAGCAGGGAAAATATTACCTTAGACCAGAGACTGTGTGTCTTTGCCTCAATAAGCCTAGTTCATTTTCAGCCATGGAAGTGGGTCTCTCATTCTCAATCACTCTACCATTTCGTAAGAATCTTCCTCTAAGCAATGACTGCGAGAGAGAAAAGCAAAAAAAAGAAAAAAACATGTTAAGTAACAAGAAAAGTTTTCTATGCCTAGAAACCAGTAGAAATGCACAGGCATAACAAAGCATCATTACACTTCTAGAACATGATACTAGCATATTGATTTCTTGTCGCTAAGGATGTCTCTATGGGTATTCACATTATCCAATGACTATCGAATACCGTACATAAAAAATTTCACCAAAATGAGATTGTACGCTCAAGTATAACAAACTCAAAACCCATTTTCAAAGAGTAACTCTATGATAAGCAACTGAAGATGCGGGAAGCATAATAACAATGAACCTGAATGCGATTGCGGTGAGCAAAATGTGATACGGCCTGGTGCTCCAACAATTCTTGAAGTTCTCTTTGCCTTTCCCTCTCAGCCTTCTTTAACATATCCAGCAGAGGCTGTCTACCGCATAACTTGCGAATGCCCCTTCGCGTGATCTCAGACCGGCCTTCAGTTTGGTTAACAACCAATCCATCACGAACTCGTTCAATTTGATTACCAATTTCAGCAGGCTGTTCTCCACTATTGTCACCAGAAGCACCTCTCTGCTGGCTGTTAATTTGCACCCACTCCCTTACAATTCTGACCCTCTCCTGTTCAGTTTCACCAAGCCATTCTGCCCTTGAACTGTTACTCATATTAGAAACACTTGAACTACACTCAGCCACACCACAATTCATCCATTCCCTGAAAACTTGCCTCACCCTCCCCTTTCAACCTCCCCAAAATCAGAATGCTCACTGCTAAAATTGCTACAGTTCTCATGTTCATGGATGACCCAATTTGACCTTGAGACCATAATCTGCACTCACTCTCCGCCACACTTTCATCCTCTAAGTCACCTGTGTGTTCACTACCGTGGCCTTCAGCAGCATCTGCTCTTGAGGTGTCATATATCACCTATCACTTCTTTGTTGAAGCAACCTTTCACTGATTCTCTCTTGGGCACGACTCACCACATGCTCATCCTCAAGCTCTCGCCACATTGTAGAGTAGCGAGGATGGGCGGGTGTTTACCCTCCCTTCATTGCCTATCCGTCTAGATGCGTGAGACTGAGAGTCTCGAAGAATAGAAGGCTCGAGCACAGAAACATTGTGTAGACCAGCAATAGCCATTGTCCAAGATCCAAACTAATATTAGACCTTAAAACTCATCTGTATAAAATGCATATTAAATTGCATTTCTTTACAGGAATTACAACAAGGTGATTCTTTCAAAAATCAGATCATCAAACTCAAAGAAAATAGCCACAAAAAGGGGTCACCATAGCTACATCCGCTGGTCTAGATGGCCACAGAAGATGCTAAACATACTCATCCAATCTAACCAGCATTAAACATCCAACCCCTATAAAAATTCACCATGACGTGAGTTGCTTTCTTCACTTGTCGTGCATTTGGGGCAAAGACTACGAAACAAAAATAAACAGTTTTTTCCTTGTTAAAGCTTTATCATTCGAAGTTGGAGATGAGAAGATAAACCGGATTAAACGGGATGTAATCAGAGATAAAATTCCAAATAACAAAACCGTGAGACGTTAGGAAAAAAGCAGAAATTGAGAAAACGCAAGACGCAATCCTTTGCTGCAAGTCGCATGAACTCACCCCCCGAAACAACGCGAGGTAATACATTTGTCAACTGCCCGACAAGGACT